CCCCGTTGATAATTCTCGATCATTGGCACGCTGATCAATTTTTTTTTTTTAAATGGCACTTCATATCAAAAAGGTTGCCGACCCCTGCTCTACACAAACAACTACCATCAGGAGATCCAGCTGTTAAACCCATAAGCCTGTATTCACAAAGAGTTTTCCCTAGTGACAAGGTTTTCAGACAAATCTTAGAATACATTTAGACAAATCTTAGAATTCTGATATTATCAAATAGTGAATAGGGTTAGTATAGTAAACACTATCTCCTAGTAAATCTAAAAGTCATTTAAACCCTCAAGAGAGTGCCTAATGTGACAAACATGTAGGAGTTTATTAAGCAGATGAAGAAATGGCAAATCTGAATCAGAATCAGTTTTGTTACCAAGTAGGTTTACACATGTATGGAAATTGCCTTGGCATAAAGGGTGCAAAAGACAAAGAGGTCATAGAAATATTCGCCAAACGCTGAATGACAGCATCAGTTCAGAAAACGTCATGCAGGTAGGTAATTTTAAGGTTTGTGAATTCATTAGAAATCTCTCACACAGCACAGCCAGCTAAAATGCCAGAAAAGAAAAAGATCATAATAAAGATATTCGGGAGCTGGTCAAATGTAACAGTGTTGCTGGTTTACAGATGACAACCATCGCTGCTGATCAGCACGGCAGAATTCACAGAAAACAGATAAAAGGAGTCATTTCCCCCCGTTAAATAGATTCAGTACTGCATTTATCAGCATGACGACAACAACGTAACCCAATAAATATAGCTACCAGCAAGAGAATTAGGCTACTGCGCAAGTAGGGCTATGTTTTCAACACATTGCAATTACACTGTCTTAGCAGTGGATGTTTATTTGAGATGGCAGATATTACTGTCCGTTGTATGCACATTATCACTTATTTTAACGATTGTCCCATAACACCATCACCTCGCAGCAGGGTCTCCTCCTTACTGAGGGAATATTTGTTAGACTGACTTTGACATTCTGTGTGTGTTTCAGAATGTTTGTGAACACACCGAAGTTTTTAGATTACACAAATCATCAGCTTGATCCGGGAGGGGATGAGTCAGCTGAGACTGCCAAGGCACACNGTTGTATTTATTGTTATATCAGACAAAAACTACAGTTTTTTTTGCATTTATTAGGCTATTTATTACATTATATAAAACTGTTAACCTCTAATAAGAAACAAAGAACTCCTATAAGGAGATGTTTCTTATTAGAGGTTAACAGTTTTATATAATGTAATAAATAGCCTAATAAATGCAAAAAAAACTGTAGTTTTTGTCTGATATAACAATAAATACAACTTTATTAGCTATCAAGCTATGAAATATGTTTTGCGGCTCCAGACAAAAAAAATGTTTTGGAAAAAGGAGCAAAATGGCTCTTTTGGTCAAAAAGGTTGCAGACCCCTGTTCTAGTGGGACATTTGGAAAAGCAGGAAAATACAGGATGTACTAGCTTGAAATGCAAATGACTCAATGGTCTCAAGAGAAGAGAGGCTTGGCTCAGAGTAGAATAACATTCTGTGACGAGGAATGACACGGCTCTCCTGGAATGCTGTAAATATGCTATTTTGACACCTGAGGTGGAAAATGAATTAGTCACACAGCATAAAACTTGCTCAATGATTTGTTTGATTTTGTATTCTAAAAATGTTCAAACAGAGGTACAAATTAGGCAGACCAAACATTTCCAGATGAAGGGGAAGTCGCATTTCACAGTATTACTAATATTTGGTCAGAAAATGTCTCTTGAAGTATATAAGTTCCACTGGAAATAAGATCTACAGCACCAGAGTTGAATGGATTGCTTTGTGTCACTGTTTCTCTTGGTCAGTTCACTTTAATCACACTAGGTGGCAGCAGAGCTGCACTTCAAATTCTCCCCGTTTCAGATTTGTCTTTACAATATTAGGTTTTCCAAAAATTGCACCATGTTCTGGACCAAAGCCCAGGTGATGCTTATGTGCTGATCTGGTGTTTGCAGGGCAACTCTCACTATCCGTTCATTGAGAAGCTCACTCACCCCCAGACAAGGTTGGATACTGGCATGTGGCGCAGGGCATTTTGATCAATGTTTGGTCACGTGATGTACAGTCATGGTGCAGGGCTCAACGTGTCTTTTATTTACTTATTGTGTCCCAAATGTATCAACATGAGATGTTGTGAAGGTTGCAGGAGGCTAGTGTCATCCATAATGAAGCAGGAGCTCAGAAGCATCCAAAGGTTCTGTTACCCACAATCCTTTGCAACAGAGCATATTCAAAACAGCCTTCAACACAAGATATCCATGGCTGTAGCAAATGGTTATTGCATGAATGTGTGATTCAGAACAACACAAAGGGAATTCAAGAGATACATGTGGTTTATTTTTGATCAAATGTAATTTAAATAGCATTTAGATGTATACATGTGTTCTATTGTGTCTCCACCAGGTGGCTCTGCTCGGCTTGGACCTCTTATCTGCCTTAGTGACGAGGTTACAGGAGAGATTTAGGTCCCACGTGGGAACAGGTAAGATTCAATATATTATATCTTGTAATTAATTATCATTACACAAAATCATATTTGTGTTAATGTATATTAAAGGCTCTTACTTCAAATGTTTACAGAGGAACTTTTAGAACCTCCTACAGATACGGCCGTTGAATCAAAGAAATCGAAATAAAGAGAAATATGTAGTTTAAATGTCAAGTTAAATTTGAATGTTGCGTTTTCTTGCAATTTTACAATTTCTAGAGCTTTTGTGAAATCTCACCGGTCTCTCTTTTAAACTAAACAATTATTTAACAATATAAGTTAACATTTCCGGTAAACTAGAGATTCAGTTATCAATGATCAGTGCACCTTCGAGCGTCTTAGTTCAAATTTGAATGCAGGCATAATGGCTTTGGACAGCTCTCTTCTACCACGGTGACAGCTGCCCACTGTCCGCCCCTCCTCTTTTTTTATGGAGGACGGAAAATGAATAAATGTGTAAATAAATATATCAAGAAATACAGGAATAAATAAATAAATAGGGAAATAAATACAGGAATAAATAAATAAATACGGAAATAAATACAGGAATAAATAAATGAGGAAATAAATACACAAATAAATAAATGTGGAAGTAAATACTTGAATATATATATAAATAAATAAAAGTCGAAAATAAAACAGAACACACGTTATTATATATCTTTAATATATTTCTACATTTACGGTCACTTACATTGATTTATTTATGTATTTCTGTGTCCGTATGCTAATGAGGTGGGCGGTCCTAACCTCAGTCTGAAGCATGATTGGCTACAGGAGTGTGATCATTCTATGATGACATGTATTTATTTCCATATTTATTTATTATTTTATTTATTTATTTGTGTATTTATTTCCACATTTATTTACTTCTGTATTTATTTCCTCATTTATTTATTCCTGTATTTACTTATTTATTTCCGTATTTATTTATTTATTTCTGTAGTTCTTCATACATTTATTTTTTTATACTTATGTCATGTTCTGTCCTCCATACTTTTTTGCCCTTAGTTCAAATAAGAACAAATGACTCTACAATTCAAACTCCTCCTTCTATGATGACTGTTTTGAGGGGATGCCTGAAAGATTGATTGGCCATAGGATCATTTTCAATCATTTTGCTTTTTTGTTTATGTTTGAAATGTGTTGTTTTTTAACAAAATGGTTGTACATAGAATGCTTTGTTGGCATAAAGCCATTTCAATACCTCTCAAAAGTATACCCATACATATGTTTGTAATTCGTGGTCTGATGTGATTCTTCTTGGTTTCCTCCTGCTCTTTCCCTCAGTTCTTCCCAGCCTTATCGATCGATTGGGAGATTCTAAAGACCAAGTGCGAGAACAGGACCAAACAGTGCTGCTAAAGATCATGGAGCAAGCTGCCAGCCCACAGGTACCAACACACACTCACACACAGCCTGAATTCATTCCAATGACAAGTTGATTTGCAATATATATATATATATATATATATATATATATATATTGCTGCTGCTTCCTGTTTCAGCCGACCTTAGTGCTTGTACGATGTGATGAAATTGACCACTGAGCTGTTGTATTGAATCTATTCCTCAAACCTCTGATATTATAACCCAACACAACTCTCACTGTTGCCCTACCTGAAACCCTTCACATTGACTTGCTCTGAGGTGCCTCGAGGACAAAAACTGCCCAACAAAATGTTTGCAATCAGTTTTTGTCCTGAATGATTATTATATCATTTTTAAGGGAGCTGAGGTTTTACTTCCAATTTCTGAGAAAAACGTGTCAAAATGGATGCCATATTAAAAAAAACAACAACGCATAGATTATATCTTTATATATTATATATTTGAATAGCCATTCATGGCGGACTGGTCCATTTCCTTTACTGTTTGTATTCTCAATGATCCATTGACTGATAATCCATTGTGTTGTGTGTGTTGTTATAGTATGTGTGGGACCGAATGCTGGGAGGCTTCAAACACAAGAACAACAGGACCAGAGAAGGAGTGTGCCTTTGTCTCATCGCCACACTGAGCATGTGAGTCTCACGTTTCTTATTGCACGTGCACTGTCCGTGTAGATGAGACCTAGTTTCATCGTTTTGTCATGTGGATGATACACATCTTTCCATTCTTGCAAATTAGAATGGATACATGCAGTTTATGAAATACAATATCTTTAGCTAGGCAGACATCTTAGTTCAAAACTGCCTTTTTTTAAATGACATGTTATTTTCAAAAAATAAATGACTGATGTTGTTCAGCTTGACTTCCTTTCACTACCCTGTCCTGTAGGTGCTGTATATCTCCTTGTATCTGTTCATTGGGCTGATTGATATACTTATTTTCTTCCAGACATGGAGCTCAAGGCCTGACCCTGAGTAAAATTGTTCCCCACATATGTAACCTGTTGGGGGACCCCACAAGTCAGGTATGCACAGTCATGCTTTTCTTCCATCTGCTTTGCCACCTTAGTCAAATTGTATATTTGTATATTGTACATGCATAATGTGCATATAGTCTATGGTAAGAACAAAGACCCAGGTGCAAATCAAAGAAACAGCTGGTAACGATTTCACATGTTGTGGGTTTCAGGTGCGTGACGGAGCGATGAGCTGCTTGGTGGAGATCTACAGACATGTGGGGGAGAGGGTGAGGATGGATCTCAGCAAAAAGGGCCTGCCACAGTCACGGTACGACCACAGAACGCTGACCCTCCCTCCTCTTCTTCTTCTTTTCTGCTTGGCCTCCTACCATACTCACTTATTCTTCCAAATACACATAAAGGCTCTGTGGGACACAAAGGTAGCAGGCTCCAGACCTGTAGCACCCCCACTAGTGGCAGAATTAGGCATTGCAGCATTGCAGTGATACTGATACGTGGGAAGATTTACACTACGTCTTTATTGTATTAGGTTCATCCATCTTTCACAAATGCAGTCTCTTACAAATTATATATATAAGAACATTTAAAAAACAACCTTTTGTACGCTTACATCCTAAATGGATGATTTGGATGTTTAATGTGCGGTTGTATTAGTTACCTATCCAGAGTCAGTGTATTACAGTAGATGCAGCAGTAGGAACAGACAGGAGTACCAGCAGGAAGCTAGGTTATGTACTGCTGTGGACGGGGCAGCAACAAAACGTATTGTGGTCACCCAAAAAAATCAATGTCAGTTTAAGTGTTGTGCTATATTGAGAATATTCTCATCACTTTGCGTTCCTGTCAGACAGCCCTATTTCACAGAGAACCGAAGCCTATATCTTTGCTACTGTATCTTCGGAGCCATCAGACTCCACAAAAAAACCCGACATTTGAACCTCTCACCGTCTACCACTGCCTCTATCTGTTAGTCTGTTTGTGTTATTGTGGGAATGTGGTTACCTCCAAAGTGTGTTTTTATCAATGGAGTGAGTCTGGTGGTTTCTGAGAGCAGAGACATCTAGCGGTGTCAGTTCCCTGTCAGAGATGCTGTCTGACAGCATAGTCAAGTTGTGAACATCTTGTAAGTATAGTGTGCACTAAGACTGAAATCAATTTTTCAAAATGTCTAAAATGGATTTGATGCTGACCTAATTTCACATCAGTACTTACCTTCCGGCTGGTTCCCTGTCTGCTTCCTTAAACTCCCCTTAACTGTGCTTTATCACAGATTGTATTAAATACGTTATTATTGCAGAGTTTCTTCAAAATGGCAAATTGTTTTATTTCCGGTCAGCTTTTGATCACTTTATCTGAAATCTCTGGCTTTGTCAACCTTTCATTTGGGCAGTAAACTATAAGTTCCCAATGGGCGCCAGCATTTGGAAAGGGGGGGCTGCATTTAGTGTTGCAGATATTAGAGAAGTTCTGTCTGTTGCTTATAGAGAACATATCAAAACGACACACTATTCAATCATTTTCTTAGCACACATGTATTTGTACGTGATATTTAAAGAAACAAAAAGTGCCCCATGTGCAGCTCCATAGTCTAAGTTCATAAAATAATGACTGAGGTGAAGTTATTTTTGTTTCACCTTCCATATCATCCAGGTGATTTCACACAACCTTGGATTGGGATTCTCTAGATTCCTATCTCTAACTACCCTAGCTAACCTTGTTAAATGCCTTGTGTTTGATATATTTGAAACCTACCCTTGGCATAACACTCCAGCCACTGAATCTGACTTACAGTCCTCCTTCTCTTAAAGGGGACCTAGCATGCAAAATGCACTTTTTTATGTCTTGTATACATAAATATGTGTCCCGGGTGTGTCGGGGAACCCACGCAGCGTCAGAAATAAAACCCTCTTTCTTTTTCTCCGTACCCAAATCTCTAAAAACGGGGCTACAATGGAGCTGATCCAGATTTGCATCCGATATGACGTCATATCAGAAATGTGGACCCACGGCCCTATCAGAAACGTTGCTATCAGAAACAATGCCTGACTGTTTTGGATGTAATATGGTCGGTGTTTACATTAGCATTGCTAACACTCAGAGCTAACCTGTACTGGAGAGCATGTGTGTGAAGAAGCAGGAAATAAAAAGGAACCCACCTTGTGGCAAGAGAGAAAGCCTTTGAGCTCCAAACTGTTTCAGAAATAATCCTTGATAATCCATGATATGGCATTTCATCACTGCAGCATTTAATTTAGACAGTAGCTGCCGGGTCCCGCATGAGCTCAGACCCCTCCAAAATCAGCACTTTTGTAATAGGAAGGGAAATAGAGGGATATGAGGCATGGCTAGAATGGGTGATCTGTTTGGTATTTTGAGCAAAACACTTCATAGACATGTTTTTTTATATATTTGTATATATCTGGGACCTATGCTATTGCCTACAAATAGCATGATAGGTGACCTTTAAGCATGCCAGAATTTCACAGGTCAGGTTTGGATTTTTTAAAATCATATTAAGAGACTGTTATTTTATTATCGTATTATTTCTGTTATCTCATTGTCTTCCTCGTCCTCTTTTTTCCAACACCGGACGACATGCATTCCACCAGCAACCCCCCCCCCCCCCCC